GGGGACGGACCCGGGATTGAAATTTCCCGATTACCTGCAGACCCTCCAGCCTGCACGTGCCTCCTGAGGCCTCTGTTTTGTGGTTTGCGCTGCGAAAACCGTATTTTTTTCTCCCACGTGTGGGCACAGATAGACTCTGAGGCAGCATTTACCTGCTCAGACTGTGAATTCTGTTTCCAGGCAAACGTTCGAGGTTATACTGTGTAATTCAGGAAGGTTCTCCGGCTGCAGAAAAAAGATGGCAACATGTGGCATTGGAAACGAGACCCCCACTAGGGTGGCTGGGGACCACTGTCCAGCCCTTGTACCTTGGAGAAGAGCCTGTTGGACAGTCCGGCCTGGCCACCCGGGGGCCGGGGCAGGGAGACAAGTCAGGGTGGGCAGGCGGGGAGCACAGGGCAGGTCTCGTTCGAGCTGTATTTTTATTGATTTTATTATTATTATTATTAATATATCTTTATTGATTTCAGAGAGAGGAAAGGAGAGGGAGAGAGAGACAGAAACATCAATGATGAGAGAGTCACTGATCGAGCCCGCAACCCGGGCATGTGCCCTGACCGGGAATCGAACCCCGATCGCCTGGATCCTAGGTCGACGCTCAACCGCTGAGCCACGCCGGGCCGGGCGTGTATTTTTATTGATTTTAGAGAGAAAGGAAGAGGGGGCCTCCTGCACGCCCCCTGCTGGGAATCGACCCCTGAAACCTGGGCCTGGGCCCTGACCGGGAATTGAACCACGACCTCTAGGTTCATGGGTCGACACTCAACCGCTGAGCCACGCCGGCCGGGCTGAAGCTGTATTTTACGGGGAGCTGCTTCTCCCCCCTCTGTGACAGTACGGATAACATTAAAGTGAATTTTGTGGAATATCTTTGAAAAACCCAAAGCCGGTGTCTGGGGAGAAGTAATTTATCACGAAGATTCCCCGAGCGAGAGGCACCTGGGGAGAAAGATATTGCAGAGGCGGCCGGGAGGCGGGGGGAGCGAGGTGGCCGCGGGCGGAGGCAGACCCCAGGGGGCCTGACCGTCCGTGAATAGCGGCCTCGCTGGCCTCCGGCCGGACCTCAGGGAGACACTGTGCTCCCCAGTGAGAAGCAGACACCTGGGGTGGGGTTGGGGACGTGACTGGCGCCACCGCGGCCGGGGAAGAAGGGGGGCCCCACGGTCTCGGGGGTCTGTGGGGAGCTGGTTGTGCTGGGATTGTCCGTGACCGTCACCTGATGACCTTCCACAGATGGCTGAGATTTGAGGTGCCAGGAGGCGGGTGATGATCGTCGCTAATTACGCGTGAATTGTCCGCAGTGATGAGAGCAGCGGTCTGTCCTGCGGTCCCCGTAGCTGGCTTAGTGACAGTCTGTGTTCCTGCGAAAAACTGAGCCGACCCAGGGCTGAGGTGGCCCTTAGGTGCAGCTGGCGGGGCCCTGGGGCCTCTTCCCCGGGTGGCGGGGGAGCAGTTCTGGGGATGCCTGTGCCTCTGAGGTCACCTTGGCGGGGTATTGAGGGGGCCAGGGGGGAGGTGCAGGGAAAGGTCATCGACCCGAGGCCAGGACAGGTGCCTTGACTCTCCCTGAACCACGCAGGAGGCAGGGCTGTGTGGCAACCCCAGGCTCACGGGAGAGCAGGAAATAAATAAAACCGCCCTCGACCTCGAATATTCCCGCCCCCTTTCTGCCTCCGATGCGCTGTGCCCCCCACTCCGCCTCCCCTCCGGGTGGGTCCCCATCTCTGAGCTGTCGGAGCTGGAGATGCCCCCCTCGGACGGAGGCCGGGGCCCTGCCTACCTGCCTCAGCACGTTCTCCTGACTCGATGTTACTGGGCAGGGGGGCGATTGGAAAACACTTTCTGTTCAATTCCGAGGCTGATCTAATCCCAGAGCCCCGTGTAATTGCACAGGTTTTGCTGTCTTTGTTTTTTGCTCGAAGCGTGAAGGCAATTTCCTCTGCGCGTTTCCCTGGCCTGCTGGCAGGTGGACACGCTGAGCGACAGCCATGTGCGTGAGTCGGGCGTCCGCAGGCTCCGCCGGCCTCACCAGCTCCTGGGGTTCACAGAGAAGGGATCTGGGGAACTGCGAGGGCCACAGTTCAAAACTGAATTCCCCCAGAGGGTCCCAGAATCCCATGCTGATGGGAAGACAGGAGACACTGGAGCTCCCAGAATTGTACAAACACACGATCCCGGGGCCTTGGGACCTGAGGACTC